TAAGCTCTAAACCCTAAACCCTAAACCCTAAATCCTAAACCCTAAGCCCTAAACTCTAAACACTAAACCCTAAACCCTAAACCCTAAACCTTCATAGCATTGGCTTTTAAACCTCTTAAATGAAAAACGAAAGAAAAACAAAAAGAAAATCGGCTTCGTATGAGGCACTGCGCAGCAGCAGCAGCAACAGCAGCAGCAGCAACAGCAGCAGCAGCAACAGTAACAACAAAGTCAGCAGCAGCAGCAATAACAGCATCAGCAGCAGCAGCAATAACAGCAACAACAGCAACAACAGCAGCAACATAGACATCGAATTACTTTTACCTGTGTGCGGACCCGAAATCCCCCAAAGCTGCTGCTGCTGCTCCCTGCTGCTCCTGCTGCTGCTCTTGCTGCTGCTCTTGCTGCTGTTCCTGCTGCTGCTGCTGTTCCTGCTGCTGCTCCTTCAGCAGCAGCAGCAAACGTCTGCGTTTGACTCGGGTATTTGGTGGTAGGTTGAGTAGAAGTTCTTGCTGCTGCTGGATCTGTTTAAGCTGCTTCTTTCTTTGCTGCTGCTGCTGCTGCTGGTGCTGCTGCTGCAGCAGCACAAGATCAGGGTGATTGCATATTTTTCTCAAAGTAGCAGCAGCAGCAAACGCCTTCCAGCGCTGCTGCTGCTTCTCTTGTGCTGCAGCAGCAGACGATAAATGCTGCTTTTTCATGCAGCCCCAAAACTCTTTCAAGACATCAACATACACCGCATACTGCACGGGTGTTAAAGCGCAGAACAAAACCTAAGAATAAACAAAAATAAATATAAATAATTATCGTTTAAAATAATATTAATTAATAAAGATATACATTAATAAATATAATTATAATTATAACAACAATTCAGATAATTACAATACACCAAAAAGAAACATAAAAGAGGCATCCATTAGAGGTTTTACACCTCTAAACCCTAAACCCTAAACCCTAAACCCTAAAACTCTAAACCCTGACCCCTAAACCCCACACCCTAAATACTAAGCTCTAGGCCCCAAACCCTAAACCCTAAACCCTACTTCCCTTAACGTTAGACCGTAAACCCTAGACCCTATACCCTAAAACCCTAAACCCTAAACCCTAAACCGTACTTGTTCTCTTTTGGGTGGGAGTTTAAGATGGTCAATGCAATCCGATTTATGACGGCGCAGCAGCAAAGGAGAGACAAGCTGCTGCAGCAGCTGCGAGCAGCTCGAGGCTCTAGAAGAGACAGCAGAAGAAGCAGCAGCAAAAGAACCCTGAATGAAGAAGATAAAGAGAGACACAAACAACAAATACAACAAATAAATATTATTTTAATCTTCAGTACTAATTATTATTATGCACAATAACAAAATAAAATAATTAAAGACGAAAACATAAAAGAGAGAGCAAAGTAAAGAAGACAGATAAAAACAAACAAATAAACAAATAAACAAATAAATAAAATAAATAAATAAAATAAATAAATAAAATATATATCTAACAATAAATATATATATATATACAGATATAAATAAACAAAGAAAGAAATAAATAAGCAAATAAAGGGATGAACAAATAAATAAATAAATAAATAAACAAACAAACAAACAAACAAACAAACAAACAAACAAATAAATAAACATCTTACTTGTCTAATAGGCTCTGCTAATTGTTCTTTAAAGACAGGCAACGTGCCGAGACAGCCGGGAGAAACAAAATCTAACAACGACCAAAACTCAGCCAAATTATTCTGAATTGGAGTCGCTGATAATAAATAGCGATGCGGGGTTAAAAACTATAAACAAATACACATAAGTATATGCATTTATATATATAATTATATATATATATAAATATATATATATAGATATAGATATAGATATAGATATAGATATAGATATAGATATATAGATATAGATATAGAGATATAGATATAGATATAGATATAGATATAGAGATATATAGATATATAGATATAGATATATAGATATAGATATATAGATATAGATATATAGATATACATGTGATTAATTATATTATATTATGTTAATTTTATTATGTATGTTGATAGATAAATGTTTA